CATGAGCCAAGCCAATTAGTAGCTTGAAAATTTAAACAAGCTAAGAACGATCTCGGACGAGGCTTCATTTACTCGATCTCAAGTTGAGCTTGAGTAGCTTGACTATCTAGATCTATTTATGCTTTAGATGCTGATTAGCTAATTAATCCCAAGGTGTTATTTATAGTCATGGTCAATCTATTTGTGGCCAATGACATCGTTATTAGAATTAAACTGATCCGATTGACCTAACCTGCTAACCAACAAGACCATGGCCCTTTAGATGGAAGCTCACAAGAGTGACTCGATAATATAACAGAATCTTATAATTGGATAGAAAATAACAAGCCCCATTAAACAAAAGGTAACTATCGTATATGGCCCTCGAACTATTCCTTCATTCTCCCTCAACCTTCAATTGTTTGAATTAGTTCTTAAACTATGAAAAGCTTAGAAATCAGCCTGTTAAACTTTTGCTTTTATTATTTTTCAATTTGTTTTAACGTTTGAATTGGATGGAAGGGACCGATTGCTATGCTTTACATAATTTGAGGACTAACTTGAGAGATGTATGAAGTCGAGAGGGTATGTTAAATTGGAGGAAACAGGAGTTGCCATTTAGGGGAGAAGTTAGGAACTGTTTCACAACTTCGTATGTAAAAGAGGTTGGCCAATCATCATTGAAGATCTTGGTTTGAGGTTATAGTACAAGGTGCGGAGAGGGCATAACAGTTTACCCATCTCATCCTTTCAAAGTATTTTTAGGGCTTTAGGTTTAGTGAGCTTGGTCGTGCATCAAAAGCCTCTAGAAAATAACCTCAATCCGGTGGAAGTCAATATACTTGATTTCATTCAACAAGGGCTCATAGGTAGGGCTCCTAAGTTAAATGATTGGTAAAAAATAAGGTGTCTAAAGTAATGTATTTGGACATTTCCTTGTTTCTTTTTTTCCCCTTTTCTTTGTCATTCTTCCCTTGGTTATTTTTTTCTTCCTTTTAGTCTGGCTTTTACTTAATATCTTAAGGTTGGTATGAGGTATTGCGTTAATTACTTCTTCTCTCATTGCTTTTGTCCTTAATATCTTGTAAGTTATTACTTATTAGTATTTCAAGGGAAGTATATAACCAATTATACATCTATGAAGTTACTGGCAATGCTATCGGAATCTGATGGATTGCTTTAGGGTATGGAAGTCTCAGTTGTGAAAATATATCCAAATTTTCTTGAAGTAATATGTAACCTTCACTTGATGTCATGTGCTAAAAATGACGTAACTATTCACCAGGCTTCTGCCTATTGGGGGATCTGGGTAAGTTATTGCTCCTATTTACGGTTCTTGGTTTCTGGCTGGATATTTTATGTTTGCTTCTCTATCCTATCCTCATAATGCCTCCTCTACACACTGCAGGTCCAGAAGCCTCGATTGAAGAATTAACTGATTTTATATGTGCTGCTCAAGTGTCAAAGGAAGCGGATGCTTATCTACAAGAACTACCCTGTGAGGCCAAGGTACTTTCTTCTCCTCGTCTTAGGAAGTTAGAAAAAAAATTGTGAAAGATCTTATAGCTTGTTTCTCAATTACTATTGCCAATACATCAAATTCCATTTTACAGATTCTATTAATATTTATGATCAGTTTACCTCTACTTTGTCATTCTTCCTCTATATTCACAGCCAAAGCCAAATATATTCAGTGGCAATGGTAAACACAAGAGGAAATTTTATGAGCATGAGTTGTGGAGAAAGAAAAAGCAGAAGGGGTATCAAAACACAGCGCTGGATGAAGACACTGAGATGATTCGTCTTCCCATACCAATGATAGGGTTTGGAGTCCCTACAGAACCATGTCCATTAATTCACAGAACTCTTCCAGAAGCAGCCATTGGTCCTCCGTACTTCTATTATGAGAATGTGGCACTAGCTCCCAAAGGAGTTTGGGATACCATTAAAAGATTCTTATATGATGTTGACCCAGAGTTTGTTGATTCAAAGTTCTTCTGTGCAACTGCAAGGAAAAGAGGCTATATTCACAATCTCCCAATCAAAAATAGATTTCCTCTTCTTCCACTACCCCCACAGACAATACATGAAGCATTACCATTAACAAGGAAATGGTGGCCCTCATGGGATCAACGAACACATTTGAATTGTTTGCAAACTTGCATTTGTAGTGCAAAACTGACTGAGAGGATTCGCAAGTCTCTTGAACCATGGGATGGTGAGCCACCAATGCATGTGCAAAATTATGTCCTTCATGAATGTCGTAAATGGAATCTAGTTTGGGTGGGGAGGAACAAGGTTGCACCTCTAGAGGCTGATGAAGTGGAAATGCTTCTAGGGTTTCCAAGGAACCATACAAGGGGAGGTGGTATAAGTAGGACTGACAGGTATAAATCACTCGGGAATTCATTCCAGGTGAGCAACTGTCTTTTCTTCTCTTTTATTGTTCTTTTTCTGTTTTTCATTTTTTGGGTCAAACTGATCTCTCTATTTCTCACCACTCTTGTTGGGTTAAACCATAATATTTATGTGAGTTGTTATTGGTGATAATGCAATATATGTGATTTTACTTATGTAACTTTTTTTCCAAATTTTTTTAGGAAAAAAATAAGTTGCCATCGTTCAAGTCATTTTCTGTTGCAGTTAGCCTAATCTCGAAGTGGTTATTTCCTAATTCTTCTCAGGTCGACACAGTGGCTTATCATCTCTCTGTGTTGAAGGACATATTCCCGGGTGGCATCAACGTTTTATCACTTTTTTCAGGGATTGGTGGTGCGGAAGTTGCTCTTCACCGGCTTGGTGTCCCCCTTAAGACTGTGGTATCAGTCGAGATATCTGAGGTTAATAGAAACATCGTCCGAAGTTGGTGGGAGCAGACCAATCAAAAAGGAACTCTGATTGATATGACTGATGTACAAGAGTTAAATGGCGACCGGCTAGAGCAGCTAATCGGTACATTTGGGGGCTTTGACTTGGTGATTGGTGGCAGCCCATGCAATAACCTTGCAGGCAGCAACCGGCATAGCAGGGATGGATTGGAGGGTAAAGAATCTTCACTTTTTTTCGATTATTTTCGTATTCTAGACCTGGTCAAGTGTATAATGGGTAGCAAACAATAATTTTCATTAGTAGGGCCATTTTTTCCAATCCTATTTGTTTCAAATTTCTTAGGTCCTCTTGACATTTAAAGGCTGTTAATGACTTATCCAAGTTCCATTCCTTGTCAAAGAAAACCGAATTCTTGAAAAAGGTGTTGGGTGCTGTTTTTTATTATATATACTGGGAGTAACCTGTGTTTGAAGGTACGGTATAATATGAATGATTTAAAAGAGATGTATATAAAATGTAAAACATGACAGACTTTCAATAAATTCTATCTGACGGTCTTAAATAGGTTTATTTAATGACCACTAACATACTGTACGTAATTATCTATTACTTATCTTCTGTTATTCAACTGCCCAAGTGATCCGTGCGGGTTAGTATGCTTTTATCATCCGTTGCTACTGAGCTGATCTGAACCACTTATGATGAGCTGCTTCTCTAGCTGTTGCTCTAGCTCTAGCCCCAAGGAACTTTGCCAAGGTTTTGAAGCTTTTTAGTAGCCAAATGCTTGTCGGCACTGCTGCCACATTCTGTAGATGAAGTATTCTATGTTACACCGGCAGCCTGCGCTTGGGGTTGCCTTGCCTGTCCGGATCAATTGAACCAACCTAGAAAATTCAGGGTTTGGGCTAGATTATTTGGCCGAAGCGATAGGCTTGTGCTCATTTTTTGGCCCGAACGAGATCTGGGTTGAGTCTGGATTATGATAAAAATAAATAACCTAACCTGGTCTAACTAGGAAATATATACAACTTAAGTTTACCCCAACCAAACATAAGTTCATCTCGAAAGAAAAAACGAAGGATTTGTCTATGCGTTCTACCAAGCATTTCTGGTCCATATTCTTTTGACGTGTTAGGGGTGGGCAGATGGGAAGGATAGGTTTGAAGCTTTTTATCGTTTCCAATCTAACATTGCCAGTCGTATTGCCTTGAAAAAGGGTATATTCCTAAGTTATTACATGAGCCAAAGCAGTAAGAGCAACCTCTAATGAGACAAAAGTACCCTCATAATATCGAAAATTCAGAAGCAATTGCGTCGAAATTAAAATGTTATATACACGGAAATCATTACCACAACTCACAACGTATCTAATATTAATTTGGTTTCAGCGGACTCGGTAGAGTAGACAAAATAACTCAACTAAAACAAACAGTAAGGACTTTATCATCAGAGTGTTCATGACATTTAGCAGCCAGATATAAATTGATGCCTATTAAGATGAACTTTTAGCGACTGCTCCGGCTTCAGACAGCAATGGCATGAGCTTCCCTCCCTTGTGCATGGCAGTTGTTGCTGCAAGAAGAACAATAAGACTTCAAACCCTGCAGAGGAAACAATTAAAACTGAAATTAACATAATTCTAAAGGGGATCAACCGATCAAGGCCATACCATCAAAGCCACCAATGTGCTTGCCACCAATAAACACATTAGGCACAGTCCGCTGTCCAACAAAACAACTGTCAATTACAAAAGAGATAAGATTGGGGGAATTGGACCTGAAGACGACGCCAGGATTGGAGGAAACGACCTCCTTAGCCTTCGGCAGAGCCATCTTTCCTTCCTGTCTCAAGTTCAACTGCGTGAAACCCTAGGCTCACCTCTCTTCCTTATTTCTTTGTGTTTGCTGTTCTCTGCAATCAGACGGAGGAGGAGACACAAAAGACAAAACACACTGCACTTGCTTGAAATTGGTGGGCTGGATCAATAGGATCCATTTCATAGAGAGGGTTGCTTTGGGCTTAAGCCTTCAACTATGACGTTGGGGCCCAACCAGCCAGAAATAATGAAAAAGACCGATAAGTCCTATTTAAATAGGAGTACCAAACAGGTAACTACCCATTACGCCCTATCAATTTCTAGGTGTATATTGGGTTTGGACTTTATTGAATCACATCACAAAATGTTTTATACCCAATACAACCTGATCACCCTTGTCCTTGTATGTAGGCCCTATATCAATAAAGGATCATGAATGCCAATGGGACCAACAATTTGACGATTTTGGTCTTCTTGCGTGGAATTGGAAAAAGAGTAATGTTACAAATAATTCACCAAATTTGTAATGATATATGAAATGATAAAATTTCAATAAAAACAGCCTAACAACTGCAATCATAATAATATTAATGAACCCCAAAGAATAGTTCACGTAATAACAGAGACGAGTTATAAATTCAGATATTTTAAATTAAAATCATGGTAAACCCTTTAAAGTCAGACTGTGAATAATTTATTTTTTATAAAGACTCTAATTCTGACGTGAATTATCAACTTTTAACCACATCAAAAAAAAAATTAATCAAAATACACATAAACCGACTTAAACATCACTAACAATTAAAAAAAGTCCTATTGAATTGTGTCCGTCACATCACTATTACGGTGTTAATAAAATTACTATTGAAACAGTAGCAGAGGGGCTTCTAGTCCTAACTAAGCGACCATCAGAAAATACTCTCTCTTTTTCTCTCTCTCTCTCTCTCTCTCTCTCTCTCTCACACACACACACACACACACACAACCATACTAATTGCCACAAAGGACTAAAACCACAACTATATATACACTTACCAAATATAACAAACGCACAACGAACTCAGAATGGGAACGTGCAAAAGCCCAAGACGCATCACCCCCTCCCCCTCTCTCTCTCTCCTCTTCTTCTCTTTTTCTTTTCTTCTTCTTTCTATATTATAGAGGGAAAGATACTATTTTAAGCTTCTCTCAAGTCTCATCCCTCAAATTTTCAATTATCTTCCTCATCCCCTGTTCTTATTGTAGGAAGATACTAATTCTCTCTCTCTCTCTCTCTCTCTGTCTATATATATATATATATATATATATATATATATATATTATGGCCACCATTGTTTTATCGTTGCTAATCTTTGTCCCTTGTGTGATCTATTCGACAATGGCAAACCCTCGAACAGAGTTAATCCTCAAAAAATGTGGAAAAGGGCATGTGCAAAACATGCCAAAGTACTACGAGAATTATTCGAAAGTCTTGCAATCAATGCAAAGGGAGATGCAGAAGAAAAAGTCTGCTACCGGCGAAGAAGGCAACGTACCTAACCGTGTTTACGTGTTACCGCAGTGCATGAATGACCTTTCCACTGAAGATTGTCACACCTGCTTCTCTAAAATCAATACCTTATTGCCTGGTTGCTTTCCATCAGCCAGTGGTCGTGTCTTTTTCGATGGCTGCTGCATCAGGGTCGACAATTATAGTTTCTTTCATGAATCCAATTCGTCTGATGATACGTCGGTAAATTTTTCTTTATATTTTCTTTGTAATTTTAGAATATAAGAATGAGATGGGTTGATATTGTTATTGACTGCTTTCCTTCAATTCTCATTCTTGGAAAACGTAGGACATCTTTTTATGTTTTCAGATACACCAAAAAAAATAAAAAAAAAAAAATTGAGAAAACTAGCCCTAAAGAATTCTCATTTGGTGGTTGTGTCTACAAATTATTTTTTAAGTTTTCGTGTTACCCTTAATCCTTGCAAGAGAAATCAATACAATAATTGTAAGACAATTTTTTATAAGTAACAATGGTGGATCTAGTGGTGGGCAACTGGCCCCATAAGGTTCTAAAACTGCTTTATTTTGAGATATAATTTTTACAGAGATGTTCACAATTTGAAGAAGTTTGCCCCTCCCCCATCAAGCCCATATCCTGGATCCATCACTAGGTTAGGGGAACATTATTTGCTAGATTGGCCTGCATTCACATCTTTGTGTTAATGTTAGATAATTAAATGGTATGCGCCTTTGACTGTGAAACATCCCCCTGTCAATAGTACCACATCAGGTAGCAAGCAATAAATATTATTAGCTTCCTCTTTTATGATTGTAGTTCGAATTTGTCATATCTGGGTATTCTCGATCATGTAACATGTTTATGTGTATACTTTTTCGGGATTAACTGGAAACAGAGATGCAGTGATTCCCAGGATGGTTCGAAGCAATTTTTAAGCATGGCACACATTGTGATTGATAAGTTGGTACACAAGGCACTGGATAACAAAGGCTATACAGTGTGGCATGCGACATCTTATGGTATACCAGTCTATGGTATGGAAAATTGCTGGGAGATGTTGGAATCTAGCTCCTGTGCCTCTTGCCTGGAAGATGCAAAGAAAAGTCTTATAAGGTGCTTGCCAGCAGTAGAGGCGCATTCACTCAATGCTGGCTGCTTTTTGCGTTACTCAGATTATGACTTCATTAACAAGGAAGGTTTATTGTCAAATGAAGGTTAGTTCCGCTAATTATCTAGGAAATGGTGCATAGAATTCGATTGATTAAGAAGTCCAAGGATTGTAATCGAAAAACTGTGGCAAAGCATGCCATTAGTAAAATGATTGAGTGAATCATGATTCATGACCCTCTAATTATCTCTAGGTACCCTGTTATTTGTATACGTTATTATAGACATAAGCATGCTATTTAATAAACTACCCTGCATAACCATTGGCTTTGGTATGTTACTTATTTGTTTGGATCTTCTAAGAGAGCAGCTGTTTGATTATCCTATTTAATTCACTGAATCATTAGTATGAATGGATTTAGGCATTTGGATTCTTCGAACAAGTTATCCTTTATTTTGAAGGGGTTCTTTGAATTAGGATCTTACATTGACATTGAAAGTTTAGTGTGATGTCTTCCTTTTTTTATGGTTTACTTGGTAATTCTTATGCAGATGGGGTTTTTGTATACCTCTTGTATGTTCTTGGTGCAGTTGGCATCTGTTTATTGGCAATCCTCTCAGGATGTTTTTCAGGCAAATTCATCTACACCCTACGCCAAAATAATATAAAGGGTAATACCATGACGAAAAGTAAAATCATCCCAGTTCTATGTATCTCAGTTTTCTGTAAGGTATTGATAATGACTTATTGATCTTTTGAAGGATTGGATATGGACTTAACAGTAATGAAGATGAGCTTTCGTTTCAGATATACAACACTGAAAAAAGCTACTGAAGGCTTCAGTGAAGCCCACAAGATTGATCAAGGAGCATTTGGTGAGGTATTTAAGGTAAGTGCATTCCTTCAAGCTTCTTCTTTGAATTCTGCTTTTATGTATTATATTGTTCGCTTCTCTGGTTTGAGTGGGGAATCTTGCCAGATGGTAGAGAAATGGCCATAAAACGGTTATTTATAGCAGGCAAGCTTCGAGTTCAGGAGGTCTGCAATGAAGTGGATGTCATTGGTCAAGCCCAACACAAGAACTTAGTTCGCTTCCTTGGTTGTTGCTTTACTGATGAAGACGGTTTCCTTGTCTATGAATTCCTCGCAAACAAAAGCCTTGACCTCATGTTATTTGGTATGCTATCAAAAATAACAGCAAATCTCAATCTCCTCTGAGAATACCAGATATAAGCCATAATCAAATGTCAGCATTAAATACTACACGAATCTAATTAATCACATGCTAAATGATACTTGATGGACTGATTGGTAGTGTTTTCACAATTGGGATGAGCATAAATGAGATTTTTATTACATCTATATGTTGAGTTGAGGCAAGACTTTGTTGAGTTGAGTAGTATATGTTGAATAAATGAGCCAGTTTCTAATGGGATTCTGTAAAATTATCTTATCTTAGATTCAAATGACCCGACTTATTTTATGGTACAGTTGGAAGGTAGACCCAGAAAACAAGAAAGACTTGGATTGGAAGAGAAGGCTCAGAATAATCACAGGAACAGCTGAAGGCTTAGAATACCTTCACAAAGATTGTAAAGTGTGTATTATTCATAGAGATATCAAAGCGAGTAACATCTTACTGGACATGAAATATAGAACAAAAATTGCAGATTTTAATATAGCAAGATTTTACTCAAATGATCAAGTCACTGGTAGCCCTGCAGTTGCAGGCACACAGTAAGTACTTGCTACCATATTCTAATTCTTTGAACGACTCTTTTTGTTTTCAGTTATGTTCCACACTGATAATTATTTCTGAATTCTTTGTCTATCCATTTTTGAGAACTGACTCTTTTATTGGTTTGATGGCCTAAAGAGGGTACATGGCTCCGGAATACCTTGCTCAAGGACGACTAATTGACAAGGTAGATGTTTATAGCTATGGAGTTTTTGTACTCGAAGTAGTCAGTGGCATGTAAAATAATAAATTTCAGCCAGAAGATTCTCTCAACACGCTAGTTACCGCTGTAAATGTCCAAACTCTTTCTCTAACACATTACACAGACATGCCCGTACACATCTATAATGTTGGAAGTATGCAAGTTCACTCACTTTTTCGTTTTTTTACAGACATGGAAGCATTTTCAAGAAAATAAGTTATCAGAAATTGTGGATAAAAGTATAGAGGTTGAAAATATGGATGAAACCCTAAGAGTAATTCAGATTGGTTTATTGTGTATTCAAGAGTCACCGTCTTTGCGTCCCACTATGACTACCGTGATTCAACTGCGTATGCAAAAGGAGTTAGCATTGCCTATTCCATCAAAGTCTCCCTTTACCGACGATGCATTTTTATCCCTTTCATGTTTTCCAGGCTCCTCCCAATGACATCGTTGGCCGTCTGTTGATTCCTGTACATATTATGACACTGATAATGACCCAACATAATATTATGTTACAGATCTATGCTTGCAAGTTATGGCACACAATTAGTTGTGACATGCTTTATCAAAGACTGTGGTTTCCAGAGATTTATGTCTGGGCTAACTGGATCAAAGCACCTGGATTTGTTTAAAAGAAGCTCACAGAGCAGGCAGTTGGGTGTTTTTTAACCCCTTCCAGGCTTTCTAATTTCTAAGAGTGGCACAGACAAGTGAAAGTTGGGCTTTCTGGAGAGTGGGAGGTGAAGACAATCTCAAACACTGCCACAACAATGAAATCTTTCTCCACCATGAAGCCTTGAACTCTGCAGGAAACTGTAGAGAAAGATCTTAGGGGGTTGTTTCAGCTCTTGGATCCGGATCTTTGGCAACATGCAGAATTTAAGTATGATCAACCCCCCCATCAGCTGAGCATTGTGATTGCACACATTTTTGAAGCAATTTGGTGGTTGGTTGATCCATTTGACGTGCCCGGATGCTGAAGTAGCAAACTGGGCTGCATTGGAGGTCAGGAAGAGCCCCTGTCAGGCCTCCCGGATGTCGGTGAATCTTGTTAGTACCCTTGGAGCAATGGCTTATCATGTAAGTTTCTGAGTGTCTTATCTCCCTCCACAAAACTGTTTTGCATGCGTAGTTTACTCATCATGTAAGTATAAATTAGAGTAAGTCAAAATGCATAAACAAAGCAGGCCACAAGGGGTGGAAAATCCTATATATCACGAGACTCGCAAGATGCTGTTATTATAGGAAAATGACAAACATATATAATTATTTTGACCAGTGTGGCAGTGCACCCAAAATGTCAAATCTCATGGCGTACCATCTCACATATTTGTGTTATGATTCAACTGAAAAGTCCACTTCAGAAGCATTATTTGTTTGGAAATTGATGATCTTTTATATCAAACTTAGACAATTGACACTTTTGTTCGTAAGAACGACAGTTGAGTTGCATGTTAAACATGTGAGATTTATTGAAAGTTTAGTTGTATGTAATGAGTAAACACTAATGTCATTCCTTATTTCTGACATTTCCCATGGATAAAAAAACAAAAAAAAATTATAATATAAAATTAGATAAATTTTAATAAGTCTATCCCATCCAACAATTACTACCGTTCCTTGTACCACCCCTATACGAAGAAAAGAATAGTTAAATTCAGGACTCACAGAGCGGAAACAAACGTGTGGGCACTTTTTAAGAGTAACGAAGATACCGACGGATACGAAGTCCTTACAGAACAGTGGGAACGTAAAAAATTATGTCGGAAATAATTTGACTCGTTGGAGCTTTCTCCATCAAAGCAGGCTTGTCAATTGTCATTTACTACCCACTCCCACAATACGCGAAAGGTGGCTAAAATCTAAGAGAGGAAGAAGAGAAAACAAAGAAGTTGACGGAGCCACTTTGAGGTGAGGTCTACTGTTCATACACATCCCCCTTAACACCTTTGCTGCTTTTCATCCCCACAGAAACACCCACACACGCACACGCAGAGAGAGAGAGGCCTTGCTCCTTTTCATCTAATAACCACTCAGCCCCCACTTTGTGAGAGAGCGAGAGAGAGACCTTGCTGCTTTTCATCTTGTAAACATTAAGCCCCCAGTAATAAACACCGACACAAACACACACACAAAATTTCATCACACCCAAGTCGAATTACATGCATTTCTCAGCCTCCAACTTCACTAATCTCCAATGGATCGTCTTCTTCTTCTTCTTCAATCTTTTTCCAATCTCTCTCTCCGACACAAGAATCTCGGAGGCCGGACTCTTCTGCGGGAACAACAGACCACCACCAAACACCAGCTACATCCCAAACTTTGTCCAAGAAATGGAAGTTATCTCCCAACTCGTCACCTCTGACGACTGGGGTAGCCACGTAGTCAACTCAACACCACCCGTATATGGTCTCGCTCAATGCTTCCAAGACCTCTCTCACACCGACTGTCTTCTTTGCTACGCTGCGAGTCGGACCAGACTCCCTAGTTGTCTCCCCTCTATCTCTGCTCGTATATATCTTGATGGGTGCTTCTTACGGTACGACAACTATAGTTTCTTCAATGAAAGCACTGACCCAGATCGAGACACTGTGAATTGCAGTAGTCCATATGGTAAATTGAGTGGCAATGAAGCTGAAAGATCGGATTTCCAGAAGAGGGTTGGAGGGTTAATCGAGAATGTGACTGAAATTGCGGTTTTGGATGGAGGATTTGGAGTTTTCGAAATGAAGGGAGTTTATGGGTTGGCACAGTGTTGGAAGACTGTGAGCAAAGATGGGTGTAGAGAGTGTTTAGAGAAGGCGGGTCAGGAGGTGAGGGGGTGTTTGCCAAGCAGGGAAGGGAGGGGTTTGAATGCTGGGTGTTATTTGAGGTACTCCACCGTGAAGTTCTACAGTGATTCCGAGAAAATGAAGGAAAATTCTGGTAACTAGTCTGTTTTCTTTTCGTAGAATTTATGGAATGCATTGAATTGACAGGGGGATAAGTGCATATTTCCCTCTGATTGCATATGTTATTGCTAAGTGAAATGAAATGACTTTTAAAAATCATGTAGTTTGGCTTTGTTTATGTAATTTTGTCTTCCCCTCTCTGTTTCTTGTAAACTGTGTGTTGTTTTCATAGCTGTGTTCGTGAGATTCAGTTGTTTTCTTGATTGTGTTCGTGAGATTCAGTGTTTATTTCTGAAAGTTTTTTAATGGTCTTTGGTTTGTAGCTTTATCAATCGTAAGTTTCTACTTCTTTTTGCTAGTTACCTTTTTTTTTTAACCTGCAAGAGCTGTTTAGGTATCATTATTCATTTAGAAACTGTCGGCTTCTTCTTTTTGTCAAATACGTTGTTTTTCTTTCTTCTACTTTTTGCATGTTTGTCCTGTTTTGAACTTTTTGTAGATTTCTATCTTTTCTTCAACTTTTGGGTAGGTTGAGGTTTGACATTTCTTATATCTTTGAATATTTTTTGATGGATTTGAATTATTTATTCCAAAGTGCTCTTTTTTATGTGCACAGTTGGTGTAATGTGATCCATTCCATTGATACATATCCATAAAATAATTGTTTTGTTTCTCTTTTTTTTTTTTTCCATCCATGCTTTTCCAGGGGTATCTATAATAGGAGTCACTGTTGCGATTGCTTTGGCTGTAGCAGTAGTCTTAATGCTCTCACTCTTTGCTGCTTATGCAGCCTATGTAAGGCTGTCAAAGTTGAAAGAAGGTATAATTCATTACATAAAAACATGATTTCCAGTGAAACAAAAGTACTTAACAATGGTTTTTTCTTATTCACACAGAACAGAATAATCTCGGCCAAATATCAAATTCATTTAACAGGTCCGGTTTGAATTTCAAATATGAAACTCTTGAGAAGGCAACAAATTATTTTAATGCTTCAAGAAAATTAGGTCAGGGAGGAGCTGGTTCTGTATTCAAAGGTACTCTCCCAGATGGCAAAACTGTTGCTGTTAAGAGATTGTTTTTCAATACTCGGCAATGGGTAGATGAGTTTTTCAATGAGGTAAACTTGATCAGTGGAATTCAACACAGTAACCTTGTGAAGCTTTTGGGTTGTAGCATTGAAGGCCCTGAGAGCCTCCTGGTTTATGAGTATGTTCCCAACAGGAGTCTCAATCAGTTTCTTTTCGGTAAATCTTTTTCCTTCTTTTACTACTGTTTATGCAAATTCTTCTGAGTGTGCATTCATTCACATTCTATTTTTAGTTCTTCATAGCAAATTTACAAAGAATGAACAAAACTAGTATAATTCAGCATGATCATGGTCACATGCCGATTTCCTTATACAGATAAAAACAAGACTCAAATCTTAGACTGGAAGCAGCGGTTACAAATTATAGTTGGAACAGCTGAAGGGCTTGCTTATCTTCATGGGGGTTCACAGACAAGAATTATCCACAGAGACATTAAGAGCAGCAACATTCTTCTTGATGAGAATCTCGTTCCAAAGATTGCTGATTTTGGGCTTGCCCGGTGTTTTGGGGCTGATCAGACTCATCTCAGCACCGGAATCGCAGGGACACTGTAAGAGAGAAGTTCTATATAATCTTATGTTTCACTATCCCTGGCAATGGAAGCCTTTTGTTGGCCAAAAGAGAAAAAGAAGAAAAAATAGAGAATAGACAATGTAGTTGAAGATTTAAGTTTGCTTAGTGACAGAAGTATCATAATTGGCTAATAGTTACTACAAGAAATACAGGATGAAACACAACATAAAAAAGTATTATAAATCTGGAAGATAAAATAGTCTGTAGTAACATACTTGAATTAGGACATGTACTTGCCAAGTACGGGTGATAATCTCGTATACGCACTTCTGAGGAAATTGGTTTTCAAACTCAAGCATATGGACGTTGCATAATTTGGGAATTCTTTCATAATTTGTAATTGGAACTATTGTATTCTGTTTCAGAATGCTTGTCAATTGAGTTATTGTTGAATGCTTATATCGGTTCTGTAAGTGTGAATTTTGGTGGTGCAGTGGATACATGGCTCCTGAATATCTTGTCCGTGGACAACTTACAGAAAAGGCTGATGTTTATAGTTTTGGGGTGCTGGTTATTGAGATTGTATGTGGTAAAAAGAATAATGCCTACACGGAGGACTCATGTTCCCTTTTACAAGCCGTAAGATTTGAATCACTCTCACTAGTTTGCCGAACCCTTACTTGTACAATAACACCCACAAAAAATAAATAAATAATATTATGCAGAACATATTTTCAACAAAAACTACGTTTTAAATTGGATTTTTGATTTTGGCCTCAGGTTTGGAAACTTTACAGAACAGATAAATTGGGTGAATCAGTTGACCCTTGCCTGAAAGACTATTTTTCGGCAGAAGAGGCATCGAAGGTGCTTCGAATTGGACTTCTATGCGCACAAGCTTCAGCTGCTCTAAGGCCATCGATGGATGAAGTGGTTCAAATGCTAACCAATGAAGAATGTGAAATTCCCATGCCTAATCAACCTCCTTTTCTAAGTGCTAGAGTACTTGATCCAGCCAGCTCCAATGGAGACTATAGAATAGACAGTTTAATATCAAATGCATTGACAAAAATTGAGGTGTCATCCACCTCTACAGAGTCCTCCAGCATGCAGAGTTCAGAAGGTCCATCAAGAAGTAAAGAATGAAGCAGAAGTGGATATTTATATAGCTGTCCAATGCTTTCCAGAGTACAATTTTGTAAGCACACAGGATCAGATCCATCATCCCTAGCCTTGTATGGGTAGAAGTTTTGAAGGAATACGTGCATGATAAAAGCAACTTGTTGGTCAATCTTCGTGGATTTTTGATGGAAAATTATGGGTTTTGTGTAGATTACAACACCTCGGGGAGGATGAAATTCTCAGAGTAAAAAAGACACTGTACGAGGTTGCTCCTATGTCAGGGTCTGGAGATTGTATATAATTTTACTTCAGTATGTGAAGAGGTAGTTTTTGTTACTCAAACTCATATCATCTGGGTTACAATAGATGAACTTTATTGTTGAGCCAAAGTCGATTCTCAAAGTTTTGCTCATAATTCCCTTAGATTATGCAGATTATGTCAAGGATGGGGCATTTAGTTGGGGACTATTTTTCCTTTTCCAGCCAGGCCAGTGCCGGTGCCAAACTAGTGCCTACTTTCCCTTTGTCAAACAGAAAATACCTTCATTAAAGATTAGGTGAGTTGGCCGATTGCTTGGATGGACCATATCTTATTTATAATTTCCTTTCTTCTTCATACATATGGTAGCTCTTTAGAAAACAATTGATGCGACTGCACATCTTTCACCCACCGCCTATCCACCCCATTTGATAATGGTTTTCTTTTCTTTTTTTAGGTAACGTTTAACTTTAACAAGTATAACTTTAAATTTTATTATATAATGCATTTTATGTATACCAAGGGCAGGTCGTGTAGTTATTTGTGACGATGGCTGATAATGTAGTTGGAACAACTTGAAATCAGGTATCACTTAAAGTTTGGAGGATTTCACATTAAAATGGTTTGATTAATTATCGTAATTTAGATTCTTACGACATTACTAGTTGAAGTATATGTGAGGTTTTTGTTAAGTATGTGCCCTAAACTCTCATTACATAATATATTTGAAAGGCACATGGATTTAATTAAAAAAATATAATATTGTGAAAATATTAATCTAGACATTATATTTGACAAATTGATTTGAGGATAACAGATGAGTAGTCACTTGTTGAAAAATTTATAAATTAATAATATTTTTTATACGTGATTTGAGAATTTAATCTGAATATCTAATCTCTTCTAACTATTAGATGAATAATAAACTTTATTTTAATCTAATAGTTATAATAAAATAAATCCGTGTATTAAATGTATAAAGTGGCCTGATATTGATAAGCATTGCATTGCATTGCATGTAATGCAGCTAAATGTGGTGACGACGGTTGTTGGAATTATGGGCCAGCGTTGGTGGGCCCATGACAGTCATAATCAGAAGGGTTTTTCAAGTGGAGCACCAGCGTTGCCTGCGCTAGATAGACACGCATCAATCTGTTCGTTGGAGGGCAGAGTCGCTGGATCGATATTAATTTCGAGAGAGTGATCGGTATGAATTTAAACCCTTTTTAATAAAAAAATAAATAAAAAAAACTAACAAGAGTCGTACTAATCCACTCTCTGACCTCAATGATAACATTAACAAGTTAACAGCCAACCAACCAACAAAATAGTTTTATTGAATTTTGGACGGTTAATATCTCGCTCCTTACCATAATCTCTCAAAATTATAAAATTATGAGGGTACGAAAATTTCGGATACTACATGAGACCGTTGCTAATTTTATGTTTAGTAAGGATAACTCGTGTTTGAAAGTGAAAGGTTTTGAGGGAAATATTAGTGGTTGTTGAATGAGTCTATTTGAGATCGTCGGATGAACTTATTAAAGTCTGTCTTATTTTATATTATAAATAATTCAACGTTTGTTCAACAAAAAAATGTTAGAAAATATAAGAAAGAAAAAATTTTAAAATTTTACATGAGTTTGTTTAGCATGAAATAGAAAATGATAGAAAAAATAATTTTCTCTCATGTATAAATTTTCTTACATCTAACTAACTTTTTTTTCTTACAAAAAACACAAGAAAAAACAATAAACTTGAATTCAATAACTTAACTTCCCATTTTTTAAAATATTCACTTAGTTATTACTTTTAAAAAAAATGTGTACAAATTAGGCTAATCATATAATTTGGTCTAGAGATTAAGGTTTGAGTCGATATTTGTTCTTAAATTAGGTTAGGAGCTAATTTTTTAAAAATTTGAATAATAAAAAATATATTTTTTTTTCTTTAAACCGAGTTAAAATACTTAAGAATAATTTAGATAATTAAAAAAAATTTCTTATAACTTTCTTTTTTTCAATCAATGGAATGAGATTGTTTTAAAATTTTTTCATACTAAACAAATACATGCATAAAAGTCAATGCCAATTCTCTTGAAAATTTATTTGTAAAATGGAATTTGCATTTAATTTGAGGTCTAATTTAAGAACAAATGACGTACAAGCCATTGAATTTGTTCGGGTGATTAAAGTATTCTTTCTTACTCTTTGGGGGAAAAAAATGAAAAACGAAGAAAGAGGAATAGTGTGATTGAGCCATTTGCTCAGTTACCAAAATGGCCTCGCTGCTTTCAAACTTTTTTCCATGGCTCACTCTCTCTCTCGCCCTCCAAGATCCTCCTTACTCTTTAATACTATACTATTAGAATTGAGTAATATTTCCTTCTTGTTTGAATCGCTACGTTCACATGGACATGTGTTCTTTTGTTGGCATTTATTCAAGTATTTTTCAGAGAAATTTAAGAAGGTTTTACGATTAGCATGATATCATCTGGAATCCATGAAATATATTTTATTGGGTTTGATTTTTCCCACCTCTTTAAATTCACATGTCTCTGCATGTTTGTTTTATTTTTTGTCTATTATTCAGCTTGTTCTAATGGGTATTGGGGTTTGAATACTTCACTCTCGTTGTGCGTAATAAA